GTTGTATATTCATTTAATTGTAGTTGTAAACCAGAAAAAATATATATAGGAGAAACGAAAAGGAAACTAAAAATAAGAATAAATGAACACATCCGAGCAATCAAGAGAAATTATGCAAATTCAGTAGTCGCAGAGCATTGTAATAATACAGGTTGTGAAATAGTATTGAATTCCGTAAAAATAAAGAAAAAAGAAAAGAATAATTACAGAAGACAACTTTATGAACATATTTATATAATCAGACAAAATAATAGAATAAACAGCAATAATGGTAGAGAAATCCACCAATCATGGCAAAGATTTATAGAAAAAGGGGTGTGTCCAAAAGATAAAAAGAACGATGGAAAAAAACAGAAACGAGGTGCCCCCACCAGTGGGCGAGTGGTTTCCGTTGCCGCTCTTAGCTGTGACCAGACACTAAACACTGGGAAGTTCGGTCGTGGGTTCGCGCCGCGATCGGACAGGCTGGCTGCTTGGAGTTTTCCGGGTTTTCTCCTTGCCAATAACGACTGAATAGGAGGCCAGTTCCCCATAAAAGTCCTTCCGGAAGGCATTATTTCCCGCGTGCGCGTATAGGCCGTTCGGATACGGCTGGCTATTCGGTCGCATAGCGATCAGAACCAAGTGTCTGTGGGAGAAAGAGCCTATATGGGCTAAAATCTCCATATCAACGAGCTAAAATCTCCATATCAACATTTAAGAAGAAGAAAGAAAGAATGGAAACGAGGTGTTGTCGGAGAAAGAGCCTATATGAGCTAAAATCTCCATATCAACATCTGAGAAGAAGAAGAAAGAAAGAATGGAAACGAGGTGTGAGGCAAACAGAAAGAGAACAAATGTAAGTTGTAATAACAGAAAACAAATGTATAAAATTGAGATAATGTTAATAGAATTTGGTTTAATATAGGTTTAAAATAATAGTAATTGTGATCTTGCTGATAAAACTTGAATATCCAGTGGAGCAAAAAAATTAAGGAAAACTGGAAAATTGTAAGAATTTTATTGAATATTTTTGTCGGAAAATTTTCAAATGTACATTTTAATAAAAAAATTTTTATTGTTTATAGAACATATATAAATACCTGCTGAGGAGGGACGAATATGTCCGAAACGCAAAATTGTGTATGTGTCCAGGTATACGAAATAAAATAAAAATTGTTTTCTGTTAATCTTTGTAATATTATCTGTAAAACCAGTATAATAAGTCCTGATAATGGAAGACACGAATTTATAGTCGAAAAATTTACATGTTAATAAGAAAAAATGACATTGAGGCAATTTAATTAAGGCACATATTTGTTTAAGAACGGAATATCTATGTGTCATCAATACTCACATTCCATACACCTTTTCTCATAGATACTTAAATATTTCCAAAAGTGAAAATTGCTGAAATTGTATAAACCCGTACTGCTATTTGTGTATTTTTTAGTGAATAAGAGAACAAGAAAACAGTGACACGTAAAACGCACCTTCGTATTTTTTTTTCTTTTTATAAATTTGTTTAGAGAGATTTTACTTTTTTCAGATTAATCCATTCGAGGTGTTTTTATTAATCTGTCTGAAGCCACTACCAATCAAAATACACGAATTTACTAGACATAAGTCATTTAAAATTAAGAAAATCTTCACAATATAATTAAAATACGGATAAACCTTTTGTTAATATTTAATTTTATACTAGACAAATATAATTTTTCTCTTGTATATTTATCACAGTTAATTATACTAAGCATAATATCAGATCGATTTTCTGTTACATTGTGTTACTTTATGAAATCAGCCTGTTTTTATCTAATTGTAGAATTAATTAATAATATATCAGCATATACAATAGAAGGTTTCTGTACATTTTGTATAAGATACGAATTGTTTTCTTGATATTTTACTGGATAAAGTAATAAAAGTTGCGTCGTGTAAAGTAAATAATAACAAATTGTTCATAAATATTTTGTGTTTTCATAGATAAATGAGGACA